GAAGTGGACAAAATACTCATTTGCCTAATAATTCTGCACTCCCTGTATATGTGCATTTACCTTCTATAATTTCATCAGGAACTGAACAATTATTTAACATTTAGAAGTTATTTATACAAAATTTTGTTCTTGTAAGTAAGAACTTGAATGTCTATGTGTTGAAGAGTTATCTAAGGTATCTAAATGAACTTTTATTACCACTTAGTCAGACATACACATTGCATGCACAATCACCTGTCAAAACTGATAATAACTTATCAAAAAGGTTCCTTACTTTCTCTTGGGAAACATTTTGGGGTTTTGCAATACAAAACAGACACATTCTCTTGCATCGGACTTTCAGAGTGAAATAAAATGACACACGCTTTTTGGTACCGAACCAAACAGGCTAGTCACCACAGCAGCCTTAATACTGAATACAAGCTGGAGGCCAGATGATATTTTCTTTTTAGGATGTTTTTGATATATAGAAAGTTGTATGGCATCAAATGCTACAGATATAGTTATACTATAGACCACCACTGTTACACAGGAAAATAAATTAATAAAACATGACAATACTTGGCAGGCTTATAAGCTTGTGTCAGTATTGACATTTATAACATATGTGAGTTTATAACTGCTACAAAAGTTACAAAAGTTCCTTTTGTAGAAGTTCATGGCAAAGCCCAAACTTGCTGATTTTGTAGTGAGACAATTTTAAGCCCCTCTGGACTTTGGTTTTGAAGTGCTCACTTTATAATTGTTTTTTCATAGCCTTGTCTTGATTGAAAAATACTTATCCAGTCTTTAAGTCTAACATCATTAGCTGTGTCTGGGCCCAAACTCCGCTGCAGGTCCATAAGCCAAACGATCACAGCGGCATCACTGAGAGTTAAGTGTCTAAATTCTTTCATCTGTAATAAAATGATCAGTGTGGCTGCTCTACCAGGTGTAACAATTAAGTTAAACATCCAGGCATCCATGAAAACGGAATTTATTAAACTGAACGCAGTTAGAAGTTAGCAAGGAGTTAGCTCGCTAGTTTCCATCTAAATATAATATAGCCTGTCCTGACAGAGAGGTTTCTGAAACAAATTAAGACGTACAGCTCTGCTATCACTTCCGACATAAATGAAGACAGGAAAGTAAATAGCAGTGGCGTTTGTAGGGTTACTTTAGTTTGGCTAGCTGATATATAATGATGTGCTACGTGATCGCTAGTGACACAGCTATGTTAGCATAATATAAACAGTGAAGGTGGAGGATGAACGCTAATTTCTTTCCACTCAACAAAAGTTGCTGTGAGGATTCTCGATGGTCAGGGACAAATGTAATCGCATGGCACGATGCTGTAAATGGACCGAACTTAAGTCAAGAGAACAACTGAGATAATTCATCCACAATCCGAGGTTATTCATTAATATACTGCTGCATGAGCTGGGCTGTAGTTGCGTCGTAAGGTTTTAAAAACCGAGCTTTAAAATAAATAGCGGTAATAAAAACCGAGAGAGGGCGACAGTGATCACTGACTGTTTTTAGGGGCTTTTTGAGAATAAACAGAACCAGATACAAAGCATTAAAACATGTTAAAAACACAAAGATTGGGCCCAGAAGCAGGATTCATCACGTCATCACTTAAAGACCAGATAGTCTGTGATGTTACATGACTGTTTGGTCATCCTACTTGGGCTTTCTAACAAGTTTGTGTTTTTTGATATTATTTTGTTATTAATTGAAACAAAATGAAACAAAATTCACTTTTAGTAAGAGTACGAAATGGTCAGTTCCCCATGAGGAAGTTACCAATCTTACCAGTGAATACACTCATTTAACTTATATCCATTAAATAGGTTTTATAAGTCTGTGCACATAGACTGAACTTTATATTACTTCCAAATCACAACTATTTAATAACAAAGGTTGATAAAAAAAACAACAACACAGATATTTACTGTAAAAATATAGTCTATATTATTTGCTCTGAAAGAGAGAGCCTTAGATTACCATTTGCAAAGCAATCTCTATTTGCTTACTTTATTTATAGTTCACAGTCTTTTCCTAACATAACTTTGTCAATATGAGGCAGGAAAGGATATCCCATGGAAGACAGAAAAGCAGAAATGAGGTAGTAAAAATGAGAATTGGGGGCATTTAAACCAAAATTACTTACAAAAACCAAAAAGTTAATGGAAGCAAAAAGTAACACAAGGAGACAAGTCGAAATTAATTTTTTTGTAATTTTGATCGAGAAGCAGTCCCTGAATCTGTTACATTACACAACAGTGATGTGAGAGGAGGTGCCAGAGTAAGTCGAAGGAGCGTCTTGTTCAACGGCCAGTTCCTTCCTGTACAGAATCAATGTTTTACTCATGTGAAACATGTTGTTTTTGTTTGGATCTGTAATTTCCCGCATGGACAGAATGATTTATGTCTCAATTTACATTTGCACCATCAGAGGCCCCCTGCTGGTTCATCCCATTTTAGTGTGTGAGTTTAATTTCCTGTCTTTGCAATGCAAGTCACACTTACTGTACACTTGCATGCACAAACGTGTGTCTGTGTCTTTTTCTTTCTGTCACTCTGCGCATGTGCATGCAAGTCATGCCTTTGCGTGTGTGTGCGAGGGTGCCTGCCTAGAATGACCTGCCTTCCTGTCACGCAACTGCTTTGTGTGTGCATTACAGAGAGAAAGAGACTGCAAGAGAGAGAAAAAAGGAAAGAGAGACATTAATATAAGCTGATCAGTTTGTTCACCAGGGAGTCTGGACATCTGCCAGGGACAGGGAACGACAGGGAAAATAGTGATAGAGGAAATACGAGAGCAAAAGACACAATGAAAGAGTGAAAAAGGAAACAAGTTAGAAAATATAGTAGATGTAAGTAAAAGATGAGAACTAGAGAAAAAGAGAATATATATATATATATGGAGAGACAGACAGACTAAAGCTTCAGACTTGGTCCTCCTTAGCGACTCTCTCTAGCAAAATGAATCCTTCCTCCCTTCTGTTTTATCTCCAACTCATTCTCATCTCATTCTCTTCGTCTACATTTTACTTATTTTTTTTCTTCTCCTGTGTCTTTCTCTGTATTTCTGTTTTCCCTTCTCAAGTCTTCACAGAAAATCTTCCCAGGAGCTTTAGTTGATGATCAGTCTACAGTGATGATAACAGAGCACCAATAATTCCTAACTGCACACACACACCTACACACACACACACACACACACAC